TTACATTAGAACATCACTAAAATCCGCAAAATGAACGGTACACAATACAAGAGCCAAGAGAGAGGTCTCCACGTCTGTATATCATATAGCATGAACATTTCCGGTAGAATCATCAGTATGTCTAGGAAAGGCGTGATCTGAGGTACAGATTTCAAAATTAGGTTTTCACATTTTATATTCAAAAACTACGTAGCCACAATGCCTTAGCTATAATTGATTAATTAAGTAATTTATTTGATAAAAATTGACATTTGAGACAATTCGCGCACGTTATCTACGATAAATTAGCATCAGAAAGGCAGACTAGAAATACATATTGACTTAGTTACACGCTATTTGCGCACATAAGCTACGAACATTTCTCGTAGCTAAAGTAATTTTTGCAGAATGAAATCGAATCGAAAATGTAAATCAAATTATCTACGAAATTACTGAAAATTAAAAGGTTCCAAAAAATACAAACAAACTTATGGCGAAGTAAGAGCTTATGGTGAGGTCTAAGCATAATTTAATGAAAAGTGGGATTTCGTCCTTTCACTTATTCTTTATTAAATCAATAAGATTGTTTCATTTTTCTTCATTTGGCGGAAAATTAGCGGAACAATATTAATTTGAAAATTAGGCATTAACCGCCTTGTTCTCTGCCTTCGTATTGGACCGAAAAAAGAAAAGTCTATACATTCTTGCTTTTCGCTCAAAGCTATAACATGTTCCAAGATTGTGAAAATTTTGCACAAAATCGTTTTTAGAATCATCTGCGATACTTGTGATAGTTCCTTTTGCTTCTATTCACAACACGAACGATTTTCAAGCAAACAGGTGATTGTCGCTTGTGGAAGAAATTTTGTAAAGTTTAAAAAAGCAAGCAATGTTTTCTTTTCTTTTAAAGAATTTGTCATGAGCCCATATAAAATCTGACTCAGCCCACATAACTTTAATGATATTTGACAAATAGTCGAAATCAATAAGCATACCTTTTCGAATTTCGTGAAGTCGTCATATTTAGAAATGCAGAAGAAATTGATGATGAGGAATGAGATCAGAAATAGAGTGATGCCAAAGATTGCTGCTACAACGACCGGTCCGAAGTAATCGAGCATTTCAAACTCTTGTTTCGCCATCTGAAAAACAATGACTTTGAAAAGTTATGGAATATTTGATGCTACTAGTTACAGAGACATTTGCAATGAACAACGCTCATTAATGAAGTCCCACTTCCGTCACAAATAACCCATGTGCAAATGTAACATCAGATATCTCCAAATCTAAGTTTTTGCGTTGTCTTCGATTCTACGTTTTCCCTTTGTCACTTTTCGTTGCAGTGAACAAGTGGAAAACATTTGTCCTTGAAATCGATGCGTTTCAATTTGGGCAAAGCGAGAGTGGTCGTGCTTCAAAAAAAAAGAGCAGATTCTTAAAGAGATATGGTTTTGCATATCCCATTTATCTACCATCTATAATATCAATGAATATCTAAGTAGGCTTTAATTACAAAAAATCTATGAAAAGTGATGATTTGGAAAAAGTAATAGTTCAAAAGTTTACAGTCAGTACGGTGTTCGCGGATAATCCATACTCATGGATTACACTGCAAAGTAGCCACCTTTTACAAATTGCACCCAAGACACCAATATTTAAAACTACAAAATGTATCTTCCCATGTCCAATAAGACCTATA